TCTGTACCCATTCGACTTAACCTACACGGTATATAAAATACAAAAATTATTTTGAATGAAACCATAAATAACCGGATAAAAGTTAAAAGCTTCGAAAATGAACAACAAATTAAATTTTTCTACTTTTTTTATGAAATTCTATGTTAAATCTTAAACTCAATCTAATCACTAATGCTTCTCTCAGAATAAACTGCATGAAATTCCGCAATATTGTGATTGGCATATTGTGTACACTGCATAGCAGTTGTATTTCTATTTGTGTTTGGATGCGTGTACATATCCACATACATAGGCTACTTACATCCGCCCCTGAACTGAACTGAATACTTGTATCGCTGGCTTTATGATATAATTGGAGTGGAGCTGATGTAATCGCATTTTATTGCGCCCCTTTCTTCCGTCATTCTACGAAAATGACAACAATCGCGGACAAAATAAACAGTGATAGCCTACTGAAATGAAAGAATTACTATTATATATACATATATAGATGTACATACGTGTATATGCACTTACATAAATACATACATATGTATATCTAGCGGTTGCAATTGTCGAGTGGGGTATATCAGTGCGTCCTACTATTCGGAATATCATTGTTCGAGTTCCGACCAACAGCCAAAGTCACAGAAAATTAAATTAAATTTTTCTAATTACGGTTGCTTCTCGGCGGGGATTGTTAAGACCTCCATGTGTATTCCTGATATGAAACGAAAGCTCCTGATATAAACTCATCGGTGGTGTTCGGAGGCGGCTTAGAATAAACTTCGTGTTTGGAAAAACATCAAGACACACACCACACATTGGAGGGCGGTGCTCGGCCGAAAACCGCTTCAGCGTTTACAAAGCACCAATAATAACAATAATAAAAGACATATTTATGTTTGTATATTTATGTATATTCATGAATAACTGAAAAGAAAACAATAATAACGTAGGTGCCATGCAGCGATAAAGCAACAATAAAACTCTGGCGCGTGGTTACTCAATGAAAGTTCAAGTTTAAAGCACGTTTCATTCACATTTCTAAATTCGGCCGCGCATTTATAGCCAGTTTTATACACGAGTACATATATACATATGTACATAGATACGCTGTATGTTTATTGATAATGTGCCATTTTTTATTTATTTACATATTACTTATATATATTTCTTTTTTATTTTTTCCACTAATTATCGTTTCGAAATTTTGTTATTTCACTTTCAATTATATATGTTTTCTATATGTGCGTATGTGTTCAATGCCCTAATTAACCCGATCGTGCTCATATTAAAAAGTTGAAAATCTGAATTTGTGTGGGTATGTTTCACAGCAAATTTAGAGAAGAGAAGCTTTGAACACCTATGGCTCAGTTATGTGGACATAAAACGCTTGGACATGAAACTTAAAGCACAATCGATTTTTTCGCTTAAAAAGTTTCGCAAATATACAAATACGAGGTGTGACAATTAAGTAACGAGACTGATACCATAAAAACCTTATATTTAATAATTATTATACAACTCTGCGATCCCCTTCAAAACAGCTAGACCACGATTCCAGTGCGTTTTTCATGCTTCGTACCATTTCTGGAATATCCGCGAGTATCCTCGACACTGCCGCCTGGATGTCCTCAATCGACACAAAATGGCACGGCGCGTTGTCGTAATGAAGAACAATTTTTGCGTACGTACCACGAGCATACGTTTACTCAACACGACATAGCTGGCGAACTAAACAAAGCTAGAGCGATGGTCTCTCAAGGTCTAAAGGTTAGCAGCGGCAATATAATCAATCTCATTACTAAAATGTCACAACTCGTATATTTTGAAATTTGGTGGGAAGTTGGGAATTCGTGTTTGGAAAATATCTACCTGTAAAATCTAGCAAGAAAAAAACATAATTTTTTCCGCGAACAAAAAATTTCTTAAAATGAAAATAATATCAATATGAAGAATGTGCCAAGAAAAGATGTAATCAAATGTAATGTTATTAAATTTAATTGGATGATATAAACAATTCAATTAAATAGATACTCCTGAAATGAAAATGTGGTGGCAGTGGTGTGAAATCATCGCCCGCACACCATACAGCCTATATTGAGGCATAGGATGTTATTAATATTGAAAACATAGAATTATCATAAATATATTCTTTTTTTACACAATGCAGATTATTGAATTTATATTAAAATTCTTTTACCGAATGCGGTTTGAATCAATATGCGTTAAATATTATGGATCTATACTCAGCAGTGCGTTTTCATTTAAGAAAAACTTGGAAAACTTTCAGTTTACCTACACTTCATAGGTTTTTACAAGTCATAGAATAAAAGCCTGATCAATTTTACTCCATCTGTTGGGTTTTTGGAAAGGAATATCCCGGGAAATCGAAATACCACACAAAATTCGTATAGTCATTGGATTTGAATATATTATAGATTCCGAAAGATTAAATCCGATACGATTTCATAACATGATTATGCAATCCCAATCTCTAACGAAACTGGATTTTAGAACAGCCCTGAAGATCTTAAGTAATAAATTTGTGACTCCAATCAATTTGCCGTCTCGAGAGTTTCTTGAGATGCTAAGAAAGATATGTTGTTTCAGCTGAGTTTGGATCTATTAACTCTAGCTACAGTTATGTAAAAGCTATGTTTAAGAAATGATTTTCAAATTTAAGATAAGTTAGTCATGTTAACAGTGTAAAAGTTTAATAAGTAACTTTAGAAATTCTATAGACCTAAGTTAAAAAAAAAACACTTACATAATCACAATTCCGATATATTTCTTAAAAATATATTTGTTGTTGTATTTTATTTTGCAACATGAATTTATATATAGTCACGATAACTGGGCTTTCAAAGTTCACCATTGTCATGTCCGAATTCCGTAGTAGCAACTTTGTTTTTCAGCGAAGTAATAATAAACCATAATTTTAATAATAAAAATGCTCGATACTTGGCATGGAGAAGAAGCAAGATGAACTACGAGGTGTGTTCAAAAAATATCGCGAATTTTGTGTTTTTTCAAAAATTATTTATTTGTTCATGATTATCTAAGGGGACAACCCTTCAAAGTAATCCCCATGAGATATTAAACACTTGTGCCAACGGTTTTTCCAATCTTCGAAGCACTTCAAAAAATCATTTTTTTTAATCTTGTTCAGCTCCTCCTTCGATGCCGTCTTTATCTCGTCAATCGTGGCGAAACGTCGGGGGGCCAGATCTGGGGAATACGGTGGCTGCGGCATCATTAGTGTCATTGTTTTTGACCAAAAAGTCGCGCACAAGCAACGATGTGTGAACAGGGGCGTTATCGTGGTGCAAAAGCCAATTTTTGTTCTTCCACAGGTTCTTTGATCCATTTTTTTTGAATGTTCAAAGTGGCCGAGCTTGTCGGCGTAAGTAACAGACATGAATACCAACCTAACGCCACAAAAAAATCGAAATTCGATTATACGTAACCCGCGAAAACTCAAATTTCGCTATATTTTTTGAACACACCTCGTACTTGGTGTAAACATTTAAACTGATAACATTCTAGTAAACTAGTATAATTCCTACAGAGTTACGTACAGGCCTATTTATCAACGACTTTAAGATTTGGCTTATATTTTTCCAACTTCTGACCAGCGTGGTGTAGGGTTCTGCCAACATTTTCTGTTCATTTAAACTTCTTGCAAACTCGGCAACATCAACATTATAAACAACCGCACATTACTTGTGTCCCCAAAAATCATAATCATATGAAATTTAGTATTAAAAGCCTACAACATGAATATACACGGTCTTGCCGGAAGGCCGTCGGGGTAAGAAAAAAAAAACTCTTGTATATGTATATATTTGTATATATTTTGTCTGAATGCTTTTCTTAACAAATATTTACAAAACCACAGGCTATTAAATGTTTGCTGTAAGTGCCTTCTAATTAAACAAATCCCCTTTAAATGGATTAGTTGGAAATACTTTCCACTTATCGAAAAATTCAAATAATAATCCTTGCTCTTAAATAATATTATTGACACCATAACATATATTGGCATATAAAGGGTTTTCCAATAAAAGATTTTATTTTAAATAGCCTGCTTTTCCAGTAGATAACACCTTTGAAGCTTTAATTTTTTTACATTTGACAAGTTAAAACTACGCCGGTAATAAAAATGGAACGGCACACGCTTTAACAATGCATTAAAATTATTAAAATTACTTTACAAATTTCATTGAAAAATCATCTTTACTCAGAGACCCATTTCCACCTCCTTAATCGTAACTGTTTATTGCGGTTTATAGTCCTTTCGGGGTCATCTACTACCCTACTTTTTCGAAAATCATTGGATTGCGCTATCAAGAGATACTTATAGAATTTTTATGGCCGGAATCGGATGGTATTAATCTGGGCAAAGTTTACTTTCAACAAGATGGTTCAACGTGCCACACAAGCAATGACCCCATCGATCTTTTAAGGTGAAAGTTTATTGAATACCAAATAACAACTCTTATAGGGAAAACCCTGTAATATTAAATATAACACCCACATTTACTCCAAACACACTATTTACGGAAAACGTTAATTTGACACTCAGAAGGCCAGTGTTCGAGCCCTGGTCCGACCAATGTCCAAAATTAAAAAAAAATGTATTTAATTAAAAAAATTAGTCACTTTTTCTGTCAAGTGTTCTGAATGTATATCTGACATAAAGTAAAGGCTTCTCATAAGACCCAACAGCAGGCATAGCATAAACTATGGGCCCCCGACATATACATATATATAAATAGATTTTGCTATCCTAAAATTTTAAACACAATTGCAGACGTTGCAGGGGTGAGTGTATCCATGCGTTTCATAACTTTTAACATACACAGAATAATAGGAGTTAGATCATAAAAAGGGTGACTTTTTCGAAAAAAAACTAGAGAAATGATTCTTGTATAAAATTTTAATTCTGAAATATAACTTCACCGCGTAAAGAATATTTGTATTGAGTTTATAGAGTATTTCCTTTCAATTTTCAGAGCGTGTCATAAAGCAAAACAATGGCTTCCCAAGCAAACATGGACACATTCGCTGCCAATGCGAATTCGCCTTTAAATTTTGCCAGTACAACGACTGAAACTGAGTGGCTAGATGATTTACTCCACGAAGTTCAACTTGAGCAGTTTCTAGAACGGATACGCGATGATTTACAAGTGACACGTCTGGCACACTTCGATTATGTGCTTCCGGAGGATCTCGAACGATGTGGGTTGGGAAAACCAGCCGTGCGGAGACTCATGGAGGCGGTTCGCAAGAAAAAAGCTCATCAATGGCGGAAAAATATACTTTCAAAACTCATTGGGGGCGGTAAGCAGCCCTCGTCAAAGAAGTCACAACAAGCTGTAAATAAGGAGCAGCAAAATACTCAACTAACTTGCCTAATCCATCAAAATGACATCTCATTTGGCATTAAGTTAGGTGACGGCTCATTCGGAGTAGTTCGTCGTGGCGAGTGGCGCACCTCCCCTAACGGAAAGGTATTGCCTGTTGCAGTGAAGGTAAGTTATAAAAACAACAGAACCTTTTGGTATATTATTCGATGCAAAATCAAATTAAAATCCTTTCCATTTAGGTGCTAAAATCAGACAATCTGACGCAACCGGGCATTATCGATGATTTTTTCCGTGAGGTGCAGGCAATGCATGCTTTGGATCACTCGAACTTGGTGCGTTTGTATGGTGTTGTGCTATCGCAGCCAATGATGATGATTACCGAATTGGCGGAACGGGGTTCGTTGCTGGACACATTGCGCAAACAGTGCAAGCACACGCCATTAACCAATATTTGGAATTGGTCGGTGCAAATTGTTACTGGTATGGCGTACTTGGAGCAGAAACGGTTTCTGCACCGTGATTTAGCATGCCGAAATGTTCTTTTGGCCTGCGGAAATAAAATAAAAATTGGTGATTTCGGGCTTATGCGAGCGTTGCCGCAAGAAGATGATTGTTATGTGATGTCTGAGCACAAGAAGGTACCCTTTCCCTGGTGCGCTCCGGAATCATTACGTTTTCGCCAGTTTTCGCATGCCTCAGATACTTGGATGTTTGGTGTAACACTTTGGGAAATGTTTACTTTTGGCGAGGATCCATGGGTGGGATTAAATGGGTCACAAATTCTGCGAAAAATTGATAGGGAGGGTGAACGTTTGCATCAGCCAGATGCTTGTCCACCTGATGTGTACGAGATGATGCTACAATGCTGGGACAGAGTACCTGCAGAGCGGCCAACGTTCGCCGCTTTAAAGTAAGTCGCTTTCGAAATGTACAAGTTATATTCGAAACTTATTGAAATTTTCTTATTTCAGAGAATTTTTAGTGGGAATGTCGCCGCCTTTATATAAAGCAGCACGTTCATATAACGAAGAAAATCGATTGCAGGTAGATGTTGGCGATACCTTGGCCATTATTGATGGTCGTGCCGATTTGAAACTTATTAAAGGGCAAAATCAGCGTACATTTGATATTGGTATTTTCCCACGTAATATATTAGAGAAACAAAAGCATACGAACAGCGACCTGATACGCCCACTGCATGAGAGCATTCGACAAAGCGGTGGTCATGCAGGATCACCATTTGGATTTTGTTGGGGAGGAGCCGGCGCAATGAGTGCCAGTGCAGAAATTCAATCAGGTAATTAAGTTGCCAATGCTATTAAGACATTTATTTATGCTTATCAAACATTTTATAGAAAGAAGTCGTAAATGCGCTTCTATGCAACCACAAATGCTGCAGCCCGGGCATCATGCCAAAGAAAGAAAATCAGTATCTAGCAAACAGTTTGCCTACAATAAGCTTATTAATGAACGTACCGCTGAGCAGCAGCGAAACCAATCACAAACCGCTAAAGGTAAAGGAGTGCCTAATCATAAACAAGGCCCACAACGTCCACCGCCACCGCAGCAGCAACAAATCGAGGGTATCCTCATTGACATTTCACCCGAATTTGGTCTGCCTTCATCTTCGACGAACAAAAGCGATGCAAACGGCCCTCTAAAAGTAAATAACTCATTTTGTTTGTTAGATGCGCCGATCGATGTACCCACGGAGGGAGAGGAGTACAATGTATTGCCTGGCGTAAACGATTCAGCATCGTTATCGTATGATTCCACTTCAGCTGAGCAAGACTTTACGACCAGAACTTCACCAATTGGCCAGAGGCTGCAGCCGCCCCCCTATCAGATGCCACCCACTTATTCAAATACCATAGAATTTTCGCAACAACAAACACAATCGATGCTTCAGCGTGATCCATTTGATACTAGCAGTATTCAAATGAGGAGCCACAATGAGGTCGAAAGCGGCACCAACACAAGTCCTAACGCTGTATACTCAAATATTGTACGTCAGCAACAAATTAATGCACGAGATCAGTTATTGCGCGCGAATTCAATGCAATCATTATGTAAGAGTTCAGTATCTGCAAGAAAAAGCCTGTTCACTTCAGTATCAAGTAGTCCTGGCAATAAAGAAAATTTTCCACATTCCCTTGCCTTAGAGAACCAAAACTCTACGCCACCAGCTGGCGAAGATACTCTGCAGTCAAGATTATCTACACTCAGCCTTGACAAACCAGAGATGCAATCTACCACGGAAGGCAATGTTTTGCTGGACAAATCTTTTATTGCCGAACTGGAGAAGGACATGTATACCAGTAAAGGCCAAAATGACTACGAACGTAATTCGTCACAAAAATATGCAAATAAAGAGATTGTGTTCAAACAGAATTTAACGCCTTTAAAAAATTCCACTTATCAATACAACACTCCAGCAGCGCCAAGCAATGGAACTTCGCCTAAAATGCAGAATGTCGAGTCACAAAATCAACAGAATTACTCGAGTACAGTGCTTACAGATGCGCGAACTAGCATCTACAATGACCAATGTAAACAAAACAATCTAGAGGCTGTTGCGACCAATGAAGTACCTAGAACAGAGGAAAGAAACGAAGCATCTTCCGCGAGCACACAAGATGTAATTAATCGGATATGGTATGAACGTGTTAATGGGACTACCACTCCTGCAACATATTATTCACAACCACCCGAGAATTTGTACCAAAACCCTACCAATTATACAGAACGTTATGCAAGCGCAGCTACTGCCCAGGAAGCAAACCACAGTTTTGTGGCTATCTCAAATAGAGTTGTTGCACCAAAAACGCAAACAAACCAAATGTATGCTTCATCTGCATCCCTATATGGGAGTATAGGCAGTCGCGAATTATATGACATGGTGGCGCCGACGCCATCAACTTACTACGGGCAATTACCTTTGGATAACGTTGGTGCTGGTAACAGCATCTTTGCCAACGGATTAACAACGGCGTCGGCAGCACCTGCAGCCATTTACGATGAGGTGGCATTAGACGATTATTTACGTCCACATCGTCCAGCTCCACTAGCTCCGCCACAGTTATCTGCACAGCAAATACAGCGTCGTCTAGAGAAACTAAAGCAACAGCAGGAGAACGGTGGAGGTAACCTTTATGCACCGATTCCATCCGAATTCACGCGGGAAAATGAAAAAATCCAACAAATACTTAAGGATTTAGGATCCGCTGCACAAGAAGTAGATGTGCGCAATGCACTTAGAGCGGCAAACGGCGATGCGAATGCGGCAATACGACACTACAAAATCGATCAACTCTCTAGGTGAGTAAATTAATATAAATAAAAATATGTATGAGCGTTTTCTTTTATTTCACAATAAATTTTGTACTCGACCCACCGACGCTTGAGAATAGCTTGTGCGGATACCAAAATCGTCAATCTGTTATTATTAATATTTCTAATATGTGTGGTCAATATATATTTGTTAAATAATTTTTACCCTAAGATGAAACGACTGGTAATAAAATGTAAATAATTCAAATAATTCACAATTGCTTTTGCCTTCTTATTTCAGACTTGGCCTTGCCAATCGTTCGCAGTGTGAGCAAGCATTACAACAAACTGGATGGAGCTTGGAGCTTGCTGCTGCTGTTCTATTAGAGAGTACTTCATAGAATGTTATGAATAATCGAAATATTCCTAAAATCATCAATTCATCATTCCAATCGCATCACATTTTCAAAATTAGATGAACCTTTTTCGATAATGCAGCATATGCATTAAAAAAATATATCCACCATGAAGTATCATCAGCTCTAGTAATCATCGAATACAAGATATTACGTGTTGTTACACACAGCGTCATTAGCCGTCCTTTTTTTGGAGCAAAAACGTAAATATTCAAAATACCTGATATATTAAAACTGTTTCGATTAATCAGTTAATTATATTTAGTAATATGAAACGAATTATTTACGAACTATTTTATTAACTTTAATTTAAACGGAAGAATCGTAATGAAATGGAGGATTAACAGCAAAGGTATTAGAACATTTTAAAACAATGAATAACTTCTTACTATACCAAAATTAAAATACATCACAAGAATGAATATATACACATATAAAAATATGTTTTAAGCTAGCGATTAAATTAATGTATGTTATTTGGGACAGCAAGTACCTATATACATACATATATATTATATATGCAAATCTTTTGTGTAAAACATAAGAAGCGAAAAACGTCACATCGCGTATAACTTATTTATTATATCAAACTGAACAAATTATAAAATATGTTTGGGTGAACTTTAGTCACAACTTTTACGAAAAGACCCTTTTTATATAACGCCAATAGATACCAATTTTAAATTTAATAGGAGGTCAATAAAAAATTTAACCAGTTGACAATTATGTGGTTTATACCACATTTGTATGTATAAATCAATCTTGTATACATATTTGTAATGAGTGATGTGAATAAAAACTATCTAACTGAAAACAAGTCGAAGATGAAAAGGGGTTTAGTTTCTATAGCAAAAAAAAATCAAATACTCACCGTGCACTTTCAAAACATTTAACAAAATTTCTTTCAACAGGCTTCATTAATTTTTTTTTTTTGATATGAGTTAAAAATTTAAAATCTGCAAAAACCTTAAATTTTTCATTTGAAGTTGCATAAATACAGTATAAAATATGTATTAGTATGAAAAAATATAAAATAATCGTATTTGAAGTTATAAAAATTATTCAAATTTTACGTATAACGTCCTGCTATTTAGACTTCTTCAAAACAGAAATTAATTAAAAAAAATTAGTAAACAGTATGTCTCTGGACTACCCATAGAAAAGCATGTAATTACTTCCCCTGTGATATTATTATTTACTTGATGAGATTCGTACATCGAATATTGAAATCAGATTTAGGGCTCTTTTTGGGCGCATTTTGAGAATACCAAGAAGGAAAATTGCAGGATAAAATTAAAACTGAACTGTATAGAGCGGAATCCTAGCAATAAATCTGACCAATGTTAACAACGCCTTGTGCAAAACTAAGTGATCACGACAACTTGTAAGTTGGAAATTACAATAAAACGGGTAGAAAGTTTAAACTTTTTATAACTTGTACGAAATATAAATATATATACGTAAAGTTAATTGATCATGTAGTAACAACTGGTAATAAATTCAATGAATAAAAAGTTCAGTTTACATTTAGAACTCTTTCCAAAATTACAACTAGTTTTTTATATACCAACATTTTCGTCAAATGTAAAAAGAATAAAATATTATATGTATTATTCCGTCTGCAGAAGATTAAATAGTAAAACTAATTATTCTTCGATAATTAAATGTATTAAAGTTTATGATTTCAATAAAAGCAATAAAAATGGTCTCAATAACTCGTATTTTTTATGTTGTTCTTTATCGCTCAAAATCTCGCTTTCTGGAATTCTTAGTTACTCGCAATGTGTGGTGGTTTCTTAAATTACGAGTTATTGCGATTCTATTGTAAATAAAACTTATCTAGACCACTTTATGACAGTGACCCGTGGTCCAATGAATACGAGTATAATGAAGAAAACTGAAATAAATTAATCATTGGTCCTGTATTTTTAGTTTGCAGTAGTCGAAAGTGACTATCGAAATGAACACCATTTAGTACATAATTACTATGCATTTTTGAGTAATTTTTGTCCTAAATAAGTACAAAATAAATTTAAAGATCAATAGTTAAAATATAGATAAAACATAGAATGCCATGAACCTGGTCCAATTTGTTAATTTAGGACGCGAAACGCCATAGTCATAAGCGAGTGCGAGCCCGATCGTGCTATCAAATAAATAATAGATGAATGTCGTTTATTAGATTTCAATGCAAATGAATCGATATTGAAATGGCAGTTGACCAAATATTGCCCGGCATATAATTTCATGAACCGATTTAGCTCAAATATTATTTATAGCTTCTCTTAGGTCCAAGATTAGGAGATCTGTAATAGATATGTGAGAAAAGTATAAAGAGCAATAACAACAACTAAATTCTTGATAGCAAATAATTTTTATTAATTAAGTGTAATGGATTACAAAGTTTACAATTCAAAAGCATGTTATGGTTTTCACTTTCCAAACATGCATGCATACATGACTCTTCAGTTACTTATCATTTAGGCAAAAAATCTTGAGGTAAGGATCATATATATATATATGTACAAATATAATGGGCCCTTTTGCTACAAATTCAATTGAAAGACTCCCACCACTTGCACATTGAATGGTATCCAGGCTGGTTTTCATACATTTCTTCATGATTTCTGCTGCTCATTGATATTCCCAATTGCTTTCCAACGGGGCGCGGATAGCAACCAGTTGCAAAGAATCGCAAGCCGGTTAGAACCTTTAAAGTTGGCTATCAAGTTGAAAAATGATTTCTTCATGCAAACCAAAACTAAGTTGAATTCAAGTTAAAAGGATCTTCCACTTCTCGAAGCAAACTTCCATTCCATGTTGAAGAGCACGACACCTCCTCAGCTCGAATTTTGGTATGTGATCTCTTAAGCTTAGAATTTGATTACTTAGGCAAATGGAACTACTAAAGGCAAATTATTCCGACGAATATTATCCACGAAATCTGTTGCGAATTTAATTCTTTTTTATTTTATTTAACACATTAATATTTTGAAATTGCAACTTCATGTCTTTTGATTCGACATTTTCCGTCAGTCATTCAAGACGAAGCCGTTTATATATTTAGGTAAATAATATTTATTTAATTCTTAAATTATTCTTTTTGGGTTATATATGTAAATAATTTACTCTATTTTATTAAAAGCTTTTCTGAAATATTTTAATATATTCCTACTAAAATTGATATAAAATAGTGGGCTGCTAATTAAATTTTTAAAAGTATTTATTCATTTCTAATTTAGCTGCTGCTTCATAAACAATATGTAAAAGTTAAGAATTTTCAAAGAGGAATTTCTAAAAAAAAAATATTTTATTTTATCTTCATTTGTGAGTTACAGAACTAAGACTAATTTTAAAATTTGATTTTACTTAAAGGCTCAGCTATGTTGTACTGGCCGGTTTATTGATTGTTGTTGCAAATTCCCTGTATTTGCTCATATTGGGCTGCGCGTGTTGGGCTTCCGTTCTACACCAAAATTAGCTTTTATGCTGATGGTGCGTCTGGTTTTTGCTGTGAGAAAAGTTTTGCAATTAAAGGTGCACTTCCGCTGTGCTTTACTTATCCTTGCTGATTAGCAAATATTGTTTTATTTAGCAATTGTTAACATATGCCATGTTATATAATGTATAGTTTTAATCTCTGCCCATGAAGTCGCGTGGCAGTTTATTTCTATCGCTTTTCTTGCCCTTCCTTTGAGTTTTGACTTTTCATGGCCGAAAAAAGTAGTTGGGACATTTCGTCGTATGTTTGTAGGTGTGAGTGTACTCGGTCAATGAGTGTGGTGAATGTCTGTAGGTCTCCTGAATCGCCATAGAATTCAGGTAAATTGTTTAAATATTTCAGAGGGTTTATAGTTCATCTGTTCATTAAGTTTTCAGCCTGTACTGCCAGTCACTCTTAACACACTAAATATTTCTTTACTTCCACACGCTTTGCTTTCGTTGTCCTTTAAATCTTTTTAAAGGATTCGTTTTTATTTTTGTTCTCCCGTTACGGATATTAAAATATTCGTATCCTTTCTCGTATAACTTAAAATGATTTACACGCGAGGATACACGGGTATCCTACCGACTGCGCCACTTTTTGTTTCTCTTAATTAGGAACACAAAAAATAAAAACTTTATTTTCTCCTAATGAGAAACACCCACAAAAGAATAAAACGATTCGAGTTAAGGTTTGATCAATAACTGCTGTATTCTTTATTTTCAACTTTCTTATATACTATTACTTTGCTGATAAAGATAAATGTTCGTACAATAATTCTTAAGAAATTTGTCTGGTGCATTTACAAAAAGTGTAACAATTCGCTAATGTTGCATTTGGAGTACAATTTATAAATATATTTTATAATTCTTTGCGAAAATACAATTGATAATATTCTTAATGAGTTACAATAGCGTGTGTATGTGTGTATGGTTAAGGGAATAGTGGAAGATACTATAACAATGCGTCACCATCCAGCACATAATCTAAATCGCTACTATCATCGTATCGTCGTAGTCGTTCAATGCAAGATTTTCATCAACATTTTCGGAATTTCGATTCAAATCATTCACTAAAACGTTGCCCAATCGAGAATAAAAATCGGTACTGAGATTTCTTCTACGTAAACGAGTATTATAAATGAATTCAATCTCTTCACTCATTATGAATAATACAACACGTGATATAAAATATTTGGCGCGCAAAATATATTGTACGGAGCAATATTCTGTTCTGTTCACTGTTCACTGACGCTCAAAATAAAATAGAGAGAAAAGAAACAACACAATAAAAGAAAAAATATAACTAACGCTTACACATATACAGACATATACGTCATTTTTCTGGCCAGGCGTCGGACCGAAGGTATATTTTTTTAAAATCCTTTTTTCGTCCTTTTTTAAAAGGACAAGTATATGTTTTTATTGCATAGATCGATGGCCAATAAAATTTTAGGAGGGTACTTAGGAGCACAAATCGCTATCTAAATTTTAAGTATGTTAAATTTATCTCGAAAAACGAAAAAGGTCTGGCCTGACCCTGGTGTCGGACGGAGGGTTAAATAAGTTAATAATTCGTTTCTTGACATTTTATTGAAAGATTTGTAATCATTGGATATGGAATTCGGTATTGTCCAGGAGTGGTTCCTTTAAGATTCTTTAGTGTAGTTTAAAATTTGGTAAATGTAATATTCATTCTAAATTAAATTTGCTTCGTCCAACGCTTCATCAGGCCTAAATTTTGAAAATTTCTGCGCAATAAGAAAGTTCTTTAAAATGTTTGAAGGCTGATAATTAACAGGTTTCAAACAATGAATACCTTTATTCTTATGTAGACCACAAAATGTTCTGAAATTGGTTTAAATTTGGGTCATGGAATTTGATGGAGTTATTTGATGTTTTTTGAGCTAATATATTTACCTTTAATACACAAAGTTTGACCTGTTGTATTGTCTTGGAATATATTAAAATTATTATTTTTTTCGTTTTAAGTATAAGTTAAACTCTTACATCAAATTAAGGGTTTTTTAAAATTAAGCGGACTTGCGTCCGCTGTGTCTTTATTTATTATCAGTAAACTTAAGACTAAACAATATTAATTTCTTAAGCCTAAAAGAAACCTATGGTCGACACCAAGTAGCGTTGCAAGTGCATGTGCAATATTGGTAAGCTGCTGTTTACTCATTTACTTTAATAATATTTCCGAATTGGCTAGTGCGGCGTCAGCAATCAAGCGGATGCGCATTGTTTATCGAGGTGCATGGGTTATTGCCCAATTCGCAAGAATTATTGTAAGCAGTTGTGTTAACTCTTCCCCTTTAAGCTTGATCGTCCTCGATCATCAAGAGAATGGCAAGTTATTAAAATTTACGTACTTTGGAATTTGGCTCGGCTCACTTGGCTGAGTTTCGTTAATTTTTGTTATAGATT